CGAAGTTAAGCGAGAAGGGGGATAGAGCAATCCCATGATGGGTAACCCACTGGGAAGTTGCTCGTGAGTTCCCAAAAACAAAACCGTGAGGGAATGGTAAGCCCAAAGCGGACAATATCGTGCTACGGTGGTGAAGCGGGCCTGGGAAGTGATCCGCCCTGGGCCGGGATGTGACACATGCTATGTATGTGCTTGCAGAAGAAAATTAAGGAAAAGTAGGTAATGGAAGATAGAAAGTGAGTTTGTAAACATTGAGGTTGCATTAGCATAATACTTTTAGTGCTCCTAGATTAAATAATATATAATATAGAGATATACAAGAACATCTAATTTTCCAAACTTAAAAACAGTGACCATATGCACTCATCATATTAGACATACTAGCCTTCATGTACACGCTAGTGCGCATGTATAGAAGGTATTTTTTTTAATCACAACATACTACACGCTACTTACACGTTTTAAATGTGTTTATATGCATGAATTGACAAAAGGAAATTCAAATATTTGAAGTAAATGAATAATCTTAGATCATGCTAGAAAAAACACCTCACAAACCAATTAAAGCAACTGAATTCACATAATAAAATCGGTCTTTCAATTTCCATCTACATTCTATTGAATTTACATTAACAATAGAGACAATAATATTTAATAAAAAAATGATTAAATCAAATTATTGCTAACCCATTGTGAGGCTAAGCCCACCCCCTCTCCCCCTTAGTGTAGATAATATCATTTGGTCAACAAAAAAAAAAAAAATAAACAATCATTTGACAACTAATTTAATCACATTATTATGCGCATGCGAAAGACCCTTTTTATAACCGGCGTTACACGCCTCTTAAGATGTTTTGAACGTGTTTTAAAATAGAAAAAATAATATTTAATGAACAAGTGATTGAATCACATTATTGCTAGCCTATTGTGAGGTACTAATTAAAAAAATGGCAACTTTGAATGCGGTCCCTAACTATGAATATTCTTTGACTGAAATCTTGTTGGTTTTCAATTTTTGATCGAAGTCCCTGAAATTAAGGTGATAATTTATTTCTATGTATGTTACTATATTTTTTAAATTGAAAAATGAAATTTATAGTTGTTTATATTAGTGAGATTTTAAATAAAAAATCATAATATGTGGGATTAAAAATATTAAAATATAAATATACTATTGTGTGTGTGCGTAAACATGGGTACATTCATCAAAATTAACCAAAAAAATATTATACCAAAACATGAGTACATTCTTCAAAATCACAAAAAAAAAAAAAGGGATATTAGGCTTAATAACATCAGTAAATTTCTTCGATTAAACTTGATATGGATACATTCTCAAATCAAAGAAAAAAGAATGTAACCATCTAAGTTTAAAAATGGATTAGAAAAAAATTGAATAGATTTTATATAAAAATATAACAAATTGGTATATTTACAAATGAGTACATTTTAAGATTAAAAATTTGGAAAAAAAAAATTACATGAATGGGTACATATAAGATTAAAAATTTGAAAGCGTTTTTTAAAAAAGCAAATGGGTACAAACTTATTCTAATTTTTTTATTTATTTTGGAAATGTTTTGAATTGCAAATTAGTTAGACGTTTAATAAATGTATACGTACTAAAATTCTAAATTAATTATTAATTCTTAATATAAAAAATTATGTAACTGACATGTAAATTCATTTTTACTTTAATGCTAGAGACTTGGATCAAAATCTGAAAACTAATAAGGTTTTAACTAATGAACATTAGTAATTTAGGACCGGATACTAATTTTTCTTTAAAAAAAACTGTACAAAAAGAATTAATTATTAAAATGACAAAAATACGCCTGCATCATTTGGTGGATTATTTTGGATTCCTTTTGAAATTTTTCGTTTTGGAGGCACTTTGTCTAAAAAAATTTAGTAAAACTTGTTACCCCAAAAAATATTGTTGATTTTATATATAAAGACATGCATAATCCTGGAGTCTCTAGGCAAGTTGGCCGCTTAATTTTTACTTAAATTTGCAATATTGATGTGGTTGATTGCCGCAAATAATTTTGTCAACTGCTTAAAATAACATTTAAGCGGTCCTTTGAATAATCTTCAACCTAAGTCCATTGCTCGTCAATACCATGGTCATTTGATAGTAATAATTACAAATTATTTGATAGTAATAATTACATCATATAAATTTGATTATAATTATTAATCAGTATAAATTTAATTGCTATCACATTATTTGGTATTCGAATTTAATGTGGTTAAACATTATTCTTTTGAGCAGTTCATAATTGTGGAGTGTGTTTTCTTTGACATGTGTAACTTCTTGGTTTGTTTTGAGGACCACGTTTGACATATATGTCCGTGTCACTTTTTTTATTTTTTACCAATCATTGACAGATATGAGTACATAGTTTGAATTTGAGAAATAAATCCATATGATCCATCATACCTCTCAATAAAAGCATCATAGTTAAGGGAGTAATAATTAGAAAGCAGTTGAGTGGGACATGGTCCCAACTTGGATTGAGCTCCAAAACCATACTCATTAATTTAAACCAAATTGGAAGATGGGCATATGCTGAATAAACCTTCAAGTGATTTCCATCCACAAGTTGGTGGGTTGGATTTCAAGGGCAATCTTTGAAGTTTGAAGCCTATCTCCGAAACCAAAGTTGTCCACATCATGCGGCAGCAAATCTTACAAATTATGGCCACGGTTATTTTCAGAATTCCATAATTACGTTTGCCAAATTAGTACGAAAACTTTGTAGAGTTGTCAAAACCCACCAACATTGTGGGTTATTGCTTTGGCGTGTGACTGAATGTTCAAATCTACTGGGGGCCTCGTCGTGCAAGTCCTCTCCATGAGTGTTTTTCAAAGGGTTAGGTCTAATTAACCTATGCCTAGGCTTTATTTAGCTACTAACTATGATCCACCAGATGAAATTGAGGTTCTACCATAAAACCAATTGGCAATATGAAGAGTAGCCCAACATCATATAAGCACATAGCAAACATTGTCCCTTACCGATGTGAGACAACTCTCAATACCACCAAGTAAAGAATAAGCAGGTAAATGTCAATATAAACAGCATAGGAGATTCAAAATACACGGCATCTTCCAGCGTTAGGAAAACAAGTATCATCAGACGAATAGTTATTGGTGAATATAGTGAACATTGCATAATTAATGAGAGATAAATTAATGTAAGCAACATGATGATATCCATGCGAGTGGCAATGCTAAATGAAGTAAGTGATTTTAGAAATCACATATATAGTCGGAGTAATGTAGCTTTGACTATGTTCATAACCATTAGGCTTAAAGTTTATTTCTTGGGTAATGTTATTCACACACCTCTTTTTTACTTTCCATACATTCTTATTAATTTGTGTTTATTGATTTTCTTTAATTCATTTGATCTGATAGTCGAAAATTGAAAGAAGGTGTAGGGTAGCACCAACATATTTCTTTTTAGAAGTTTAATTGAATTAATAATAGGGTAGTTCTATCCACACACCAATTTTTACTTCTCACATGCCCTCTCAATTTTCGGCCGTCGAATCGAATGAATTGAAGAATATTAATAACCAAATATTAACAAGGTATATGGGTGTAAAAACGGGTATGTGAATAGCACTATTCCAATAATATATATACAATGTTAGCAAATGGATATTAAAATAGTATATTTATAATTTAATTTTGTATGTTTGTAAATCTTAATAAAAATAATTAAAAAATATCTAGAATTCAACTAAAGTAATGGATGCCATCTAACAATAACAATAGTTAATATATTGTGGTTGAAATAGTAACAAGGATTTGAACTCCATGGCATTCGTTGTTATATCCTTCTCCCAAATCTTAGTATAGATATCGAAAAGGTTTTGGAACAATTTTGAAATTTCATGTTTTGCCTCATTTACAACAGTTTTCAAATATTTAAGATTTTAAAATAGTTTTGAAGAAAAATTTGAATCATTAAACATTAATATGAAACATGAGCTTTTAAAAAGGAACCGTAGTTAGTAAAACACGAAACCAATATAGTACGTAAAAAAATATGTACGTGTATTACATATTCGACAACTTTGATAAAAGAATATTTTGGAAAATTTCTCCTTTTTAAAATTTTAATATTTAACTATTTCTATTTCTTCAATAATATGTTAAAAACACGTATAGAAAATATGTTATATATGCCTTATTGAAACAATGTGTGAAAATAACATGTATTAAACATGAAAAGTACGTACTTACTTACGTATATGTTACATTGGAGTTTTAAAAAATGTGCAATTTAACGAATCATTAAGACATGTACTTACAGAAAAAAGAAGGTATTTTGAAAAGTGCGTACGTACGTGTTTAATACGGAAATTTACATTTTCTTGGTTGTGTTCTTGTCTCACATTCATTTAGGGTTTTCAATTTCATCTTGTATTGGGCTGTTTTAATTAGGTTGTGCTTATGATTCTGGGCTTTTTTTATTTTAGGCTTTATCTTGTAATATTGAATTGAAATAGAAAATCTTTCCGAACATTTTCTTTCACTAGTGAACGGGTGAATTTAAATAAGGTTTAGTTGAATTGCATTCATTCATTATTACGTGCTGGAGAGCAAACCTCTTGAATGAAATGTTACATTGACCTTGACAAAAAAAAACAAAAAAAAAAAAAAAGAGTTACATTGACCCAAAAACAAAACAACAAAAAACATAATTTCTAGGTTGGATACCAAATGAGCCTCGCATTACTTTTCACTCCCAAATGGGCCAGAGTAAAAGAACAAAAAAAAGCTTAACCATTTGGGCCTTCTGGTTTATCTTCATAAGCCCACGTATATTCAAGAAAAGAAGAGGAAAAAGGCCCATACTTCACAATACACGCGCTCGCGCTCTAGAAGCGCGTGCGTCTATAACTTGCCACGTCAGCTGCGACTGTAATTGCCAGGGACGGAGATAGCACGGACCTTGACGACGTCTGATATGCAGATTTGCAGATTATCAACTCTTCACCTGAAATTTGCATTCAAATCCAAAATAAATAAAAATGTTATTTAATCGGAGCGTCTGATTCTGACATGAATCGCTCGCTGTCTGCGTCGTCTTCGTCTTCTTCTCCGTCGTCTTCCTCCGGTTCGTGGTTCTCCGGCGTCGTCCGTGGCCGCTCGGACCGGGCCGGGTCCGTCAAGATGGGACCGGACTCCCTTTCGGGCGGTTCCGGCGACAATTCCGGCCCCGTTGTGCGGAAGAATCAGTTCCGAGGCGCGCTCTTCAAGTACGGCCCCAAACCTATTCAGGTCTGTCTGTCTCTTATGTCAGTTTATGCTTTTTGTTTCTGGATTGTGCTTCATTTGAGTGGTGTTGAGTTGCGAGGGCTCGATCTCTGTTTGGAAGTTGGTAATTTGAAATAATCGGTGCCATTTCGTCGTTGAAAAATGCAAATTTTAACTGTTTGGTGGTCTGAATTATGTTAATGGTGTGTTCGGAAGATTCGAATTTGGTGGGTAAAGTTTATGCCGATAACTGAGATTGGTATTTTGAAAGAATGGGGATAATTGGTGCCATTTTGCTATCGAAAAATGCGATTTTTAACTATAGTTACTCTGAATTATGTTATTGGGATGTTGGGAAGATTTGAGTTTGGTGGATAAACTTTATGCCAATTACTGAGATTGGGATTTGAGGTGAAATGCTGGAGCTTGGGTGAGAACTTAGAAGGTTAGGATGGATTTTGGTAACATGTGAAAAATAGATGTAAAGTAGTTCACTGGCAGCTATTGAGGGAGAACAGCATTTCAAGAATGTTAGGATTTTCAAATTCATTTGTTTCGATGCTATTTATCTACGGATACTAAGAGGAGAAATTACCTGGTTCTGTTGTTGGAAGGTTCAGTTGTGTCTACTCTGTAGGCTGTAACTATTCCTTTAGTTCAATAAAACACGTTGCTCCCTGTAAAAAATGCTGGAAGGTTCAGTGAGCTGCATCAAGAACACAAGTTTCATGCCTTTTGGTTTCAGTGGTTTGGTTAACATTTTGCAAGATTAAACTTGTAAACTAGATTTCTGTTTAAATTGCTCATAGAATTAAGTACTTTGGATTTTAGGCTAAAGCCCAGCATTCGAACAAAAAAGTTACTATCATAGTCTAGGCTAGTTCAACCAGAACAAACTACGAATTTTTTGTCTTTCTCTTTTTTTCCAGTGCTTGTCTTATATAAGTCATTTTCTTTCGAAAAATAATCAACTTTCATTTAATATAAAGTTCTTGCTGTTTGTTATTGTTGTCGAGTGTAGTTCAGTCACTTTCATTGTGCTCACCTTTAGGAGTCTATCTTGTATGCTTATACATATAATTTACTTGATGATGAATGAGAATTATCCTTGTGATGCAGGTAGCATTTAAAACAGGTGATTATCGACAGCAAGTCATTTTTATTGGTGGACTGTCTGATGGTTTTCTGGCAACAGAGTATGTAACACTGCTTGTTAACTTCTTTTGAAGAGAAGCGATATTTTGTCTTCCATCATCAACGCTTGTTTGTGTGACTAGTTTGCATCATATGTATGATTTTCACTCACAGCGGTTTTCTTCATTTATGAATGCAAGTTCACTGCATAATGTAGTGAGGTGCTTAAAGAAAATTTTGAAAATGTGTTATTCCTTTCATATCTCTCTTTTACGCAATTTACAGATACTTGGAACCTCTTGCAATTGCTTTGGACAAAGAGAAATGGTCACTTGTTCAACCACTCTTGTCATCTTCATACAGTGGATATGGCACTTCCAGCTTGAAACAAGTAACTTAATTCAACCAATCCCTTGCTTTTTTTTCTTTTTTTCTTTTTATAGGTTCTTGATTCGTGCACCGGTTCCTGTGTTTTTATGTACAGTACGGTAAACAACATATCCTTGTAAGTTGCAAGACAGTTAGTTTTACTTGTATTGTATCTATATGTTTGAAAGGATCCATGGTGACTGGCCTGGACCTTTCATCAAGTTTAGTTTGTTACATGTTTAAGCTTTCTGTTTTCAAGTGGGCTTAAGTTGGACTGGAAAATTGAATTTTTTTTTTTTTCTCTCTAAATATTGATGTGTGTGTGTGTGTGTGTGTGTGTGTGTATCTTTTTGGGGTCTGGGCATTGAAGTTACAAATATTACTGCTTTTACTTATCAGATATTGTTGCCTTGTGTATTGAAGGATGCGGTGGAACTTGATCAGCTGATCAGTCACTTTATAAACAAAGAAGATTCTGAGGGCGTGGTACTGCTTGGCCATAGTACTGGCTGTCAGGTTTGTGTTGATTGCATTTAGACTTGAGCTTCTGAAGTTAATGAGAGCACTCATAGTTGTCACTTTTTGATGCATTTAATTAGAATACTATGTTTTTGGTTCTGACTCTAGGATATTGTACATTACATACGCACCAATGCTGCATGCTCCCGAGCGGTCCGTGCTGCCATTCTTCAGGTAGTACCCTTTCCATACTCTGGTTCTTTTGATCTATATTGAAATGAAATTTGAATGTGAATAAGTTCAAGATGCTAGACATGAAGCACCTCGTTCAGAATTAAGGTGTTTAGGATTATCATCTTGCCATTTGGGTGCAAAGTTGGCTCCCTTGTTCCTTTCAATTCCACCAAATGTTGAGTTATAAATTGTAGGTGATTGATATTATGCTGAGAGATTTGTTTTTCTCAAGAAAGATGTTTTCGTAACAGAAATATGTTTTCTGGCTCTTATTCTGTCAGCATCATGTGAAACCATCTTTTATTTAATGTCTGGTGAATCAATGATTGATGTGAGAGTTCTTAACTTCCTTGTTCCAGTATCTTCTATCCTTGTTTATATGAACCTTTATTTGAATCTGTGGTCCTAATTCCAATTAAAATGTCAGGCCCCAGTCAGTGATCGGGAATACAGAGCAACTCTTCCCGAAACAGCTGCTGTGATTGACTTGGCTTCAACCATGATTAGTGAAGGACGTGGGTCGGAATTAATGCCAAGTGCAGCAGATCCAGGAGCCCCGATAACTGCCTATCGGTGGGTATGCACCCGGATTATCATTAGTAATAAGAAGTATTACCAGTCCTGGGATGAACTTTATTAGAAAGAATAGGCATGAAAATACGTAGAGGTTTGCAATGGGTTGCACCATGACATTAAGATCGTCTTGCTACTCAGCCTTCAAATACCATATTGCCTTTCATTGGTGCTATTCGTCCTCATCTAAAGAAAGAAATGCCTTGCAGGTATCACTCCCTTTGTGCATACAACGGCGATGATGACATGTTTAGTTCTGACCTTACTGATGACCAGCTGAGGTTGAGACTTGGGCACATGGCTAACACACCTTGCCAGGTAGAGTGTCCCTTATTTTATTTTCTTATTTGCAAGGAAGTGTGTTTATATGGTAACTTAATTTGATTTGAAGTAAACCTTTAGGCAAGATCTTAACGACTTTAGAAGGGGCCACAATTAAAAGAATTTCAGAATAATTTAATTATATATTTTTTGTTAGGTAAGTACTTAAATCACAGATTTTTTTAGAAGGGATGATAGGAAGAAGGGTAAGAAATATAGCAAGACTAAGTTAGAATTGTATTGCTTCAGGAAAGACTACGTAAAAATGGCGAATTCATTGTCAGCCTCTTGGTTTCTACCTCTAGTGACAAGCATAAGTTTTGTTTACCTTTTATACAAGAACAATGCTACTTTCTGGTTTGGTGTATGGCAATACAAATTAAATCGTCGTATTCTTTTGTAGGTTATATTTTCCATGGCTGATGAATATGTGCCAGACTATGTTGACAAGAAAGCACTGGTCCAAAGGTAAGAAACAGAAACTTTTAGGTTCATTTTTATACGACATTTGTGTTGTTAAGAACCTCATGATAGTATTATAAACAAATGATTGTTGATGCTGGTTACGTTTAAAACAGCACGTAAATGTCTTCTCTTGTAGTGTTTCCATGTGCACACTTTATCTGTTTATGTGTAAGGGATTAATCTCCAATCCAATTAAATAATTGTACTGCTATGTGGATTTCATGCAGATTGTGCAAAGCAATGGGCGGTGCTGAGAAAGTTGAAATTGAACACGGGAATCACTCCCTGTCCAACAGAGTTGATGAAGCTGTTCATGCCATCATTGATTTTGTTAAAAGAGACGGACCAAAAGGCTGGGATGATCCGTGGCATTAGCTATAGTGCGTCGCTCTGTTTTCCTATTTTCATTTCTAAGTTCTTTCGTTTATTCTATTCTTATTGATTTCTCATCTCTTACCTTCTCAGCTTTTTCCAGTTTCTTCATCTCCTTCTATATTAAACACCAAGTGAATTTTGATCATGTTTCGTTCACACTGTTGAAATTGTGTCCATAGAGAGAACATTACCGTTTTTGTGAACTTATCAAGAAACAAAGAAAATAATAGAAAGTCATATTTTTTGCACTGTTGTCTGGCTTTAGCAGTCTGGAATCAACTCCAAACTTATTAGGGTTGGTGTCTTGTTTGTACACATTTGGTCGTTTCTTCCTATGACATAGTATCGTCGTTTTGCCCACTTGGGTTGGATAGCTTAACGAGTCGTGATTGTGTCAATGTAGGTGTTACTAAAAATCATAAAAACTTTCATTTGCAACGACCATATTCATCCTTGCCATCATTGTATCCCATATATACCGTTAACGTGTGTCCATACATGCTAATTGTTTGTCTTATTTGACCTAATCTCTTGGGATTTACCCAAGAATTGAATATGGCTGTTGGGAAGATTTGAATACGGCTGTTGTGGCTGTTGTGGCAGTGTCTAGAGTCTACTGTTATAATAATCTGTCTTTTAGCTTGGGGGTGTTTGAAAATCACCACCCTCTTTGGGTTGGGATTTAGGTTGTCACACAATGTGTCAATCATAGTATGTATCGAATTTGTCATGTACGTAGAGTTGAACCTGAGACCTCTCCCTAACGAGTAGAGAGGAATATCAGTTTGCCGTAGCGCTAATGACACCTTTTATTTTCTTACTAATCAACATGTGTCATGCATGAGAACAAAATCAGTTCGTCCATGAGATATGAAATAGAGACTAATTACCACTAGACTAAATGAGGAGCTTTTTGGAATCATAGGAGAGAACGTATATAGGTTAAAGGTATGATCAAAGAGCAGAAATTAGTTCGGCATGGCGTTTGCTCTTTGCAAAAGGATAGATTTTGTATCGATATTGTTAATAATGTAATATGAACATGTTTTGTTAATGACATGTTATCTAGGATGATGTCGACACGTCACTGATAATGGTATTATTGACATCTGTTAATAAAGAGATGTTGTCATGTTCATAAGAGTAACTTACATGGAATGAGTTTATCACCACATGGCGTGACATTTATTGAAAATCGTTTGCATGTCATTGCTTTATTAAGTGGGCACCAAGAATCAAGATGACCGTAAACGACTTTGGATCCAAAAACATCAAACTTTACACGTTCACACGGACTCAACGATCTTCTTTCCTGGAGGAAAAGATAAAAAGAAAAGTCATTCAAAGCTTCACACACTTCAACATTTGGCTTTTTACCCCTTTTGCTCCACCACTGCCCATCACCACCCCATCCCACCCCACCCAACCCATCATACTCCTTGACATTTTGGTTTTCCACTTGTGACTTGCCTCCTCCGTTCGTTTCATGGTCCACACCATCACTTCACCAATGCTACCATTTAACTCAATTGCCAACTGTTATCCCCAAATGTAGGCATGAAAGGATTCAACGGCAATAGATTGGTGATCGAGGAACGTTGAATCAAATCCAACAATCAAATATGTATCAATAATGAAGTCTGGTAGGTACTCAAGAAAATTTGCCGACTGTCGGCATGCAAGAATTTTGAATTTCTTTTATGGGGCTTTTATTCCATTCCTACCAACCTCCTTCCACAATCCATGAAAATTGGGCAAACTAAACCCTTTTTTCTAATTCATTAATTGGAAGTTTTTAGCCTTTTTCACAATGCGAAAATACAACCACTAAAAGTAGTTTGAACCCAACCACGAAGATGAGATACTTTAGAAGTTCAAAAATCGGGTTAAAATCTTTAAGCATGATTAAGAGTTTATAATTATGAGATCATTATCTAATTTAGGTTATTTGCAGAGGCTTCAAAAACTATTTTTTCTTTTCTCTAAAGACAATCATATATTAAGGGGTCTCTGTGTGTATGTATGTATGTGTGTGTGTGTGTGTGTGTGTGTGTGTGTGTGTGTGTGTGTGTGTGTGTGTGTATATAAAGAATAAGAATAGAAGCCAAAGGCCAAGAGGAAAAGACCACAAACTAAAAGGAACGAAGAAACTGAAGAAACAAAAATACAACAAAAGCCAACTGTAAAAACGGTCACACACCAACGGACCAACTGACCAACAGCTTAAACAAAGATAATAACTGATAAAATAATAAAAAACCCAAAACAAATCACAATTATTAATTAAATATAAACACAAGCCACAAGGCAATTAACAACACCAGAACGGCAAAACAAGAACATTCAAAAGACAAGCTGCTTAATTAGCAGCTAATTAAACAGAAAATACGATAGAAAGGCCCCAAAAAACATCCATCTCAGAAACTCGGAAGGAAGCTGTTCTTCCATTATTCAGGAAGGAAATCTAGGTGAAAAGTTGTGTAGGGTTTGAACTGCAGAGAGGAGATTCGAATCTCACGGTGCATGTCCGGCGATCGTACGTCATCGTCATCGTATGATCGTAAGATCAACCGCAGAGGGAGGACACTGAGCCACATGATCAAGTGAGTTTTCTTGTTAATTTCCTATGTAATGCATGCATGATCAAGTGTGTTTTCTTATTAATTTCCTACGTAATGCATGCATGTGCTAATTATTGGTTTTAATTTAATTAACCTGACTTAAATGAATCATTAGCTAAATTAATTGCATATGCATGACATTACATGTGCTTGTCACTTGTCAACGTGGTATATATATTTGTTGAGTTAATCAAGAACTAAAATCTATAGATTTACAAGTGTGTGACAGATTAACAACTCTAATCGCTTTCTAAATATCTTTGTCTACCATTTTCTTGAATAAATTAGATATATATTTTATCAATTAAAAATGTTGATTGATTTTTTAGGTTCGTTTGGTGGCTGCGTAATCACATAACTACTGTTCTGGCTGTCAGTATAATTAATACAATGGTGTTCCAATTAGTTTACAAGTTCAAGTTAATTACGAGAAATACGTCCCCATATCTCCGTGTATAAACATCTATTTTGAATTGTTCTAAGCTAGAAAAATAAATTAAAAGAAAATAAATTGTCCTTATTTTTAGTTTAGAACATTATTCTTCAAAGAAAATAATTTGTTCTAAATTTGTGTAGTATTATTGTTACCACGTTGACGTTATATATTATATCCACAAAAAAACACAAAACGATGCTATCCACCTTCTCACACTTTCTCAGCTCTTATTCTCATCCTGTTATAGATCTAATTCACCTTTTACAAATTAACTCTCCAAAAAATCAATCAGATCATATATCATTTAGCTATTTGATTAACATTGTCAAAATTATTATAGTGTATAGCAAAATAACAATGTTTTATCTATTTTACAGTTTAGTTTTCAATGGGTGATTCCCTTTTTTTTTTTCTTTTTTTTTTTTTGACAAATGATAGCGTTATTGAGTTAAATAGTTGTCATTAGAGGGTGGAGAATATGTGGGATTTGAACCAGCACATTGGTGCATAGACATAATTGTTTTATGCCACTACGATAAAAAAGCCATCTCTTATTCAGTGAGATAAACGATATGTATATTACAAGTTATAGGTTACATGTTAGAAAAGAAAGCCAAAAAATGGTAGAATCAGAATGTTCAAATAAATTTGGCCAAAAAAGAAAAAGAAAGTGTTATTCACACATCTATTTTTACCTCCCATATACCCTTATTAAATTTTTGACATGTTATTTTCTTCAATTTGTTCAATTCGATAGGGAAAATTTGAGAGAAGTGTGTGAAAAGTATAAGAGAATTTTAACGAAAAACTCATGGTACTGTTCACTTTAACAAAAAATCACATTTTTACACTAAAAAATCAATTATGATATTATTCACTTTACCCCTTATTTTGTCTTTTTCATTAAAATTCAAAGTTTTCAATTTTTTTTCATTAGTTTTCTTAAAATATAATGAATATGTCGACGACACTACAAAAAAATAAAAAATAAAATAAAAAAATACGCGCCGGTGTTGTGATGGGGAATTCCACCGGAGTTTATTGCGCTTGCGCAATGCTCACGATGGTTTCGATTTCTTGGTTTTGGCCTTTCGTTTTTGTATTTCACAAGGGATGTGATATCCATACTTTTTTTTTTATTTGTCACACATTTTTTTAATTTTCAACCGTCGGATAAGTTGAATTAAAAAAAATCAACAAACAGAAATTAACAAAAAATATATGATAAATAAAAATAGATGTGTCGATAGCACATTCCGTTCCACAATCCTTCCTTCAAACATCGCCACGTGATTCCAGGTGGCACGACATCCCAAACCATCGTCATCTATGCGCAATCAATTTTATATCAGTAATCATAGTGCATTAATTGACATAAATACCCTTACCCCACACCCGCCGACGCAGCGGCGCTCCCTCCAATTGGCTTCCCCCGGTCGGTGATCCACTGCTCATCAACCTCATCGCCACCCCCAAACAAATACCAGGGGCATTTCCGTCCACAAAAATTAAGAAAGATTTGCTCTCCTACTCACCATTCAGTTTCCTTCTAATAATTTGCTCCTGCCAGGATTAGAACTCTCAACTAAAAACTAACTCGCACAAAAATAAAAATTAACAATTGGTTTAATCGTTAGATTTCTCTGATAAAATTTCAATTTTAAAATTATTAAATTTTATTTATTTTTTAGAATTGTTTTAAAGTGGAAGAGTGAGTTAAATAAAATAAATTTGTCATAATAATGTGGTTCAACATTATCAAGAATTGAAATTAAAACCTTTTATTAGGAAAAAGAATACTAGACCCGTAGTGATAGGTAACTATTAAATTTTATTTGTAATCTCAATTATTCATTTTATATTATTAATATAACGTATTGTTCGAAGAAAATTCTAACATTGTGACCAATTATATAATTATTTGTATTTAATATTTCTTCCCAGAAACCAGGCCTAAATTTATGTTTTTCTGCAGAGCTTATAAATTATAAACAGCTATTCCTTCTTCTCTCATGAGTCGGACTCCAGGAACAGAAACAAGAGCATGAACTGACCAGAAATAGAAGAGAGAGAGAGAGAGAGAGAGAGAGAGAACTGCATTCAAGTTCACAGATTTGATTCTCTCTGTTTTCAGAATTCAAGGAGCAGATAAAAGGGAAATTTAACATTGTACTTCTGCAAACAAGTAAGTATGTTTTTTTCTCTGTATTATTATATGCACTGCTTCGAAAAGATCGAGAAAAACACATTCCTTGTCGTCAGAGTTGGTAGCTTTTTACCATCTGGGTTTGCTTTAATGGCGAGTTGTTAACTTTTGTTGTTGCAGTCTGTGAGAGATGCCGGAGAAGGGACTGGGCTGGCCACCATCGCAGCCGTGGACGGCGAGTCCGAGGTTGGGTCCTTTGCTTCAATGGCGAGTTGGGTTGTTAACGGCGGCGGTCCTCGTCGGAATGGTGGTGGTTTGGAGCGTCGATGCCGGAACTATGCAGAACTTCGTCGACGCTACAAGGACCCGCCAAGCTTACCTCACCACAAAGGTTAGTGCTTTAGCTAATCTCGCCCAAACCCATCAAAATATCGACGTCAAATCGTTCGACATTGCGGTTATTCAGAACCAGAACCAGACCACTCCAACCCAGAGCCAAACCAACATGACCCAGAACCAAATCAACCAGACCAATCCGACCCAGAGCCAAATCAACCAGACCAATATGACCCAGAACCAAATCAGTGCGACCCAGTTCAAAACCCACTTGGATTCTCAGAACCCAGTTAATTTTTCCCAATCTGGACCAGTTTCTGCCCAGAATTCAACTGGGGTTTCTCTGAAATCCGGAACTTCGAGTTGGGTTGTAGCTGAATTGGAACCTAACTTCACGAAGAGTCTTCTGGCTAGGTGGCTAGCTCCGGGAGGAGAGCCCTGTAAAGTTTCGAGAACAGTAGAAATTGCTATCCCTGATTTGGACGGGAAGGATCTGATCGAACTATCGGCTGGTGAAATCTATGAGTTCCAGTTTCTGGCATTGGGGGAGGATAAGAGCCCTAGATGTTTGGGTGGGGATTACTTCGAAACCGATCTTTCTGGGGAGTCATGGAAATCTAGGCCTCTGGTGACAGATTTTGGCAATGGTTCTTATTCTGTTAAGCTTCAAGTTCATCAGGATTTTGTGGGGTTGTACAATTTTACTGTCATTCTACTTTTTAGGCATTTTGAGGGTCTTAGATTTTCACCAGCTAGGTTTTCTTATGATCAAGAGCTGCGAAAGATTCCGATCAGGTTTGTAAAGGGCACGGCGAAGTTGCCTGAGCTGCGTACTTGCGAAGAGTCCGATTTTGGGAGAGAGATTTGGGCAGGAAGGTGGACTAGGCATGGGAAGAATGATGGTTGTGAAATTAGTAATGACGGTCGGTATCGTTGCCTAGCCCGGGATTTTCCTTGCCAAAGTCCATGGTGCAATGGCTCTTTGGGGGTGTTGGAGAGTAATGGTTGGGTTTACTCCGCACATTGTTCGTTTAGATTGTTTTCGGCTAATGATGCTTGGAATTGCTTGAGCAACCGGTGGATTTTCTTTTGGGGCGACTCCAATCACGTAGACTCAATACGCAACACTCTCAACTTTATATTGGATCGGCCTGATATACCTTCAGTTCCTAGACGGTTTGATAGGAACTTTTCAAATCCAAAAGACCCTTCTCAGACCGTTCGAATTACAAGCATCTTCAATGGTCATTGGAACGAAACGCAAAACTACCAAGGGTTGAATTCTTTGAAAGATGAAGGGTTTAGGAACTTGTTAAAGAAATACTTCTCAGAAGAGACAGTTCCAGACACTATAATCATGAACTCTGGATTACACGACGGTTATTACTGGCGCAACATAAGATCATTCTCTATTGGTGCAAGCCATGCAGCAACATTTTGGGCGGAAATCATGGAGTCGATAAGGCAGAGAGGTTTGACGGTGCCAAAAGTCTTTTACCGGACAACAATAGCCACTGGTGGGTACGCAAGAACTCTGGGATTTAACCCGAGTAAAATGGAGGCATTTAATTCAGTATTGTTAGATAAGTTGAAGGAAGCCGGGCTCCTCTCTGGTGTAATTGACAATTTCGACATGACCTTCCCGTGGCATTATGATAATCGGTGCAACGATGGGGTGCACTATGGCCGAGCTCCCTTGAAGATGAAGTGGAGAGATGGCGAAATTGGGCACTATTATTTTGTCGACCTTATGTTGGATCATATACTGCTGAATGCACTCTGTGCAGGAAGGCAAGCTTCTACAAACATGTGAAGCAAATTAAAAACCTTGCGTCGATTTAAGAACACGAGAATCCGAAATGCAGGCTCTTCCCGGAATGCCAGAATGCAGTTTTTCTGGTGCTTGAAGGCAAAGTATGAGGGTGATGCATTCATTGTTTTGATCCATATTGTTCATTAGTTTGAGCTTTCGGCATTCTTTATTTGTTTTGTTTATATGTAGGCACATATCGTCTCAGACCACTTTTGTACATCATTACAGAATCTTGTATTTCAAGTAATTACGATTAAGCCTCCTAAGCCAAGTTATCATTTACTATCAGGAGATATTTGGAGCTTGTTTGGTATTTTTTTTTTTTTTATATCTAATTTTTTTGGCTATCCAAATTTCTTTGGTTTAAGTGCTCTGAGTCGCAGTCTTTTAATATTACGGTTTAATGGTATTCTTCTTTACTTGTAAGTGAGTGGTCTTAAGTCCGATTCTCGTCGAAGGTGAACTTGCACCACATTATTGCTAGCCCATAGTGAGACTAAGATAGCCTCCTCCTCCTTAGTATAAATAATATCATTTGTTAAAAAAAAAGGATGATGTTAAATACTCCGGAGTATTGTAGATTTTTTGGTAAATTAAAAGAAAATTTCAAATTGAATAGCAAGCAACATCTTCATTTTTGCAATTGAAGTTTTGAATTTGGCATCTTTGGTTCTGATGACACTCCTTAGGATCCAAGAAGGAAGGGTACGAAACGATTTAACTTTATGGGTAGAAGAGATAAAGACACTTTTAAATGTATCTCAGTTTGTCTGGCTTTTATTCCTCAATCCTCAATGCATCTTTTCCAATTTTCCAGTTTGTCTGGCTTTTACAAAAAGCCAATCAAGGCAACATATCACAAACTTGACTCAAAGAAATATCAAGAGTTGCGAGCAACACCGTTAGTCTAAGTAGCCTCAATGATTGTCGGGAGTAACGCCTTGATATCCTTCATAATTTATCCAATTGCAGACAAGTTAATAGATAGATCCTTTGATGCTTTGAGTTTGAGCTATTGGAGTTATGCAGTGCAAGGATTTCATGGACCATGCCTTGACACTTCATTGAAATCTAAAACAAAAACGGAAAGTGTAAAGGGAAGTTTTATTTCAACCAACGTAACATTTTTTTTACATCTAATTTACTCTTTGCACCCATTTGATTTTTAACTAAATTAATATCTCTTTAAACCCAAATTTACTACCTAATATATCCCCATAAACCCAATTCAATATGTGAATTTATCTTTACACCCATTTAATTTTTAACTCTATTTTTATGTCGTCTAAAAATGGACATTGAAAATTGGGGTGTGAATTTAGCCATAGCTGACAACAAGACTGACACTTCTAAAGATGTTGACAAAAACCATGTAAAGATTATTAGGGCTTGTTTTGTATCCTATTTGAAAATTTTATCATTTCTCAAAACATTTCTTAAGAACATTTCTTGAAAACAATTTTCTTTAAAACTCAAAATTTGATTGGTTTGTGATTTTAAATTTTTAAATTTTACGACTTAAACTAGACAAAGAGATTTAAAAAGAGGAGGTAGCAAGAGAGGAAGAAAGAGGAGAGAGGAGAAAGAAAGTAAGAGATGAGTGAAAGAAAGAGAAAGAAGAGAGAGGATCGGACGAGATAAAGAGGAAGAGGAAAGAGAAAGAATTGAGAGAATGAAGAGAGCGGATTAGAAGAGAGACGAAAAATGTATAAAAAATAAAAATAAAAAAGAGAAAATGAAGAAGAGAGAGAGAGAGAGAGAGAGAGAGAGATATAGATTTGGAGTGAGAAGGGAAGATGGAGAGAAAATAAATTAGTGAGTTTAAGTTTAAAAACTCTAAAAACTCACTTTTTATGTTTTTAGATAATAGAATATATTTTTAAGTTAGTCTTGAGTTCATTTTTTGAAAATAGTCCTACCAAACAAGTTTTTAAGGTCTAAAACTTGAAAATTGTTTTTGAGTTTAAAAAGTTAAATTCAAGTAGAGTACCAGACATACCCTTAGTTATTTGACTTCAGATAACATTCAACAAGAAAAGTATGCAAGCATAAATGTGCCTGGCATGGAACTCCTTTTTTTATTTTTTTGGGCTTAGTTTTACTAATATGTTAAAATCCTTGCAAAGTCTGCAAGTCCTTACAATATTTGCACCAAGAGTAAAGTTATGTCTTTTGCAATATAGGAACAATTACTTGAAAGTAAAGTGATAGGTGACACTTTACGAAATAGGTACATTGATGCCAGATGATTTTGGGGTGTAGTCAAACACCGACAAAGAAGAAAAATAAAAATATAGTATAAAAACAGAAGAAGCAAACAGAATCCAAGGTCCTTGCAATATCTGCAAGTCTTTTTGGTTTTTTGGGGTGCAGACGGACAGTGGGAGAGCGACTCCTGCAATATGCTGTTGCAGAAAGATAAACAAACTATGCGGGATTGATTGAAAAAAAAAAATTAAAACCAAAATACTCATATTCTAAACTCTAAAAAATTGAAAACAAACGAACAAAAAATTCATAAATCGAGTCATACCTTGGTTGGAGGATTCAAAACTTCAAAATCACCATCCATCAATAAAAAAAACTTGTTTTTCTCTATAAGAGATATTAGGGTTTTAGCTGGAATGAATGTAGAATAAACAAAGAGTGATCGTGGGGTTTAATTATATATATATATATATATATATATATATATTGTCAATTTAATTATAGTGTTTGGGTTTATTGATAAATTTGAGTTTTATTATTAATTTCATTTTGTACTTAATAGTAATTATGCAATAGGGTAAAATAGAAAATTGATAAAATTTAAGTTGAGTGTAGAAATATGTTACATAGGTTTAAATAAAATTTTCCAAATGTAAATCCTTTTGCATTCTAGTGTATGACATGCACATTAGTAAATGAAGGGTTGGATGTACATTTAAAGATTCAACAAATAAGACAAGTGGCTCTTTATCACAGTGGTGAAATGGTGTTGAGCCCTTGCATGATGATATGGGTTCGAACTTCGTCGATGACTAATCTAATATCTAACCTAACATAATCTATATTTTAACAAAAAAAAAAAAAAAACCACCAAAGATCTAGTAGACGACGGTTTATACTAGAATATTCTTAAAAAAATACCTGACTTTTAAAAATGTAAAGAGTTATTTATCCTTAAATACGAACTCCAATTTGATATTTGTGCAAAAAGAAAGTTGTATCCTTTCAAGCGGTGAATTGTTGCAAGTGGAACTGTAGAACGGTAAACTATCCAAATTTTAGGGCTGATTTCAAACTTGTACCCAAACTTTGCTATGTCAACAATGTCATATACAAACTTACAAAAACCCCAATTTAACTACATTCGCTAGTCAGACAGTTAATCTCTCGTTATATGTGGACGGATTAACTAATAGTTTGACTAATATGAATATAACTTCTTCTTTTTTGGTCAAAAATATGAATATAACTATAAGTGTAGAATTTTCGTGAGTTTATTGTTTCTCCTCAAAACTGGTGAGGTCACACAAAGACTAGAATGGTCGTATGTTGGCTCTTGGTTGGCTCGGGGTTTGCAAATAATAAGAAATGGTCAACATAATTTAAGTAATTCACTCCTTAAAATTGAGTTACATTTACGGAGTCACTTGAATATATCGAATGCAAGATTACAAACCAGTGCTCGGCTTAACACGGTATAATATCTCTCTAAATTTGTTTGACCTATTCTAAGGAGCACTCATCCTCCTTATATAGCCCTCAGTGATCCCCAAGTCTCTGGACTTGAGTCATCCACGGCCTTTGCATTTAATGCACTGAATACATTGATTTAACTTCTTTTGAAGAGAAGCGATATTTTGTCTTCCATCATCAACGCTTGTTTGTGTGACTAGTTTGCATCATATGTATGATTTTCACTCACAGCGGTTTTCTTCATTTATGAATGCAAGTTCACTGCATAATGTAGTGAGGTGCTTAAAGAAAATTTTGAAAATGTGCTATTCCTTTCATATCTCTCTTTTATGCAATTTACAGATACTTGGAACCTCTTGCAATTGCTTTGGACAAAGAAAAATGGTCACTTGTTCAACCACTCTTGTCATCTTCATACAGTGGATATGGCACTTCCAGCTTGAAACAAGTAACTTAATTCAACCAATCCCTTGCTTTTTTTTCTAATTTTCTTTTTATAGGTTCTTGATTCGTGCACCGTTTCCTGTGTTTTTATGTACAGTACGGTAAACAACATATCCTTGTAAGTTGCAAGACAGTTAGTTTTACTTGTATTGTATCTATATGTTTGAAAGGATCCATGGTGACTGGCCTGGACCTTTCATCAAGTTTAGTTTGTTACATGTTTAAGCTTTTTGTTTTCAAGTGGGCTTAAGTTGGACTGGAAAATTGAATTTTTTTTCTCTCTAAATATTGATGTGTGTGTGTGTGTGTGTATCGTTTTGGGGTCTGGGCATTGAAGTTACAAATATTACTGCTTTTACTTATGAGATATTGTTGCCTTGTGTATTGAAGGATGCGGTGGAACTTGATCAGCTGATCAGTCACTTTATAAACAAAGAAGATTCTGAGGGTGTGGTACTGCTTGGCGATAGTACTGGCTGTCAGGTTTGTGTTGATTGCATTTAGACTTGAGCTTCTGAAGTTAATGAGAGCACTCATAGTTGTCACTTTTTGATGCATTTAATTAGAATACTATGTTTTTGGTTCGGACTCTAGGATATTGTACATTACATACGCACCAATGCTGCATGCTCCCGAGCGGTCCGTGCTGCCATTCTTCAGGTAGTACCCTTTCCATACTCTGGTTCTTTTGATCTATATTGAAATGAAATTTGAATGTGAATAAGTTCAAGATGCTAGACATGATGCACCTCGTTCAGAATTAAGGTGTTTAAGATCATCATCTTGCCATTTGGGTGCAAAGTTGGCTCCCTTGTTCCTTTCATTTCCACCAAATGTTGAGTTATAAATTGTAGGTGATTGATATTATGCTGAGAGATTTGTTTTTCTCAAGAACGATGTTTTCGTAACAGAAATATGTTTTCTGGCTCGTATTCTGTCAGCATCATGTGAAACCATCTTTTATTTAATGTCTGGTGAATCAATGATTGATGTGAGAGTTCTTAACTTCCTTGTTCCAGTATCTTCTATCCTTGTTTATATGAACCTTTATTTGAATCTGTGGTCCTAATTCCAATTAAAATGTCAGGCCCCAGTCAGTGATCGGGAATACAGAGCAACTCTTCCCGAAACAGCTGCTGTGATTGACTTGGCTTCAACCATGATTAGTGAAGGACGTGGGTCGGAATTAATGCCAAGTGCAGCAGATCCAGGAGCCCCGATAACTGCCTATCGGTGGGTATGCACCCGGATTATCATTAGTAATAAGAAGTATTACCAGTCCTGGGATGAACTTTATTAGAAAGAATAGGCGTGAAAATACGTAGAGGTTTGCAATGAGTTGCACCATGACATTAAGATCGTCTTGCTACTCAGCCTTCAAATACCATATTGCCTTTCATTGGTGCTATTCGTCCTCATCTAAAGAAAGAAATGCCTTGCAGGTATCACTCCCTTTGTGCATACAACGGGGATGACGACATGTTTAGTTCTGACCTTACTGATGACCAGCTGAGGTTGAGACTTGGGCACATGGCTAACACACCTTGCCAGGTAGAGTATCCCTTATTTTATTTTCTTATTTGCAAGGAAGTGTGTTTATATAGTAACTTAATTTGATTTGAAGTAAACCTTTAGGCAAGATCTTAACGACTTTAGAAGGGGCCACAATTAAAAGAATTTCAGAATAATTTAATTATATATTTTTTATTAGGTAAGTACTTAAATCACAGATTTTTTAGAAGGGATGATAGGAAAAAGGGTAAGAAATATAGAATTGTATTGCTTCAGGAAAGACTACGTAAAAATGGCGAATTCATTGTCAGCCTCTTGGTTTCTATCTCTAGTGACAAGCATAAGTTTTGTTTACCTTTTATACAAGAACAATGCTACTTTCTGGTTTAGTGTATGGCAATACAAATTAAATCGTCGTATTCTTTTGTAGGTTATATTTTCCATGGCTGATGAATATGTGCCAGACTATGTTGACAAGAAAGCACTGGTCCAAAGGTAAGAAACAGAAACTTTTAGGTTCATTTTTATACGACATTTGTGTTGTTAAGAACCTCATGATAGTATTATAAACAAATGATTGTTGATGCTGGTTACGTTTAAAACAGCACGTAAATGTCTTCTCTTGTAGTGTTTCCATGTGCACACTTTATCTGTTTATACGTCAGGGATTAATCTCCAATCCGATTTAATAATTGTACTGCTATTTGTGAGATTAATCTCCAATCCGATTTAATAATTGTACTGCTATTTGTGGATCTCATGCAGATTGTGCAAAGCAATGGGCGGTGCTGAGAAAGTTGAAATTGAACACGGGAATCACTCCCTGTCCAACAGAGTTGATGAAGCTGTTCATGCCATCATTGATTTTGTTAAAAGAGACGGACCGAAAGGCTGGGATGATCCGTGGCATTAGCTATAGCGCGTCGCTCTGTTTTCCTATTTTCATTTCTAAGTTCTTTCGTTTATTCTATTCTTATTGATTTCTCATCTCTTACCTTCTCAGCTTTTTCCAGTTTCTTCATCTCCTTCTATATTAAACACCAAGTGAATTTTGATCATGTTTCGTTCACACTGTTGAAATTGTGTCCATAGAGAGAACATTACCGTTTTTGTGAACTTATCAAGAAACAAAAAAATAATAGAAAGTCATATTTTTTGCACTGTTGTCTGGCTTTAGCAGTCTGGAATCAACTCCAAACTTATTAGGGTTGGTGTCTTGTTTGTACACATTTGGTCGTTTCTTCCTATGATATAGTATCGTCGTTTTGCCCTCTCGGGTTGGATAGCTTAACGAGTCGTGGTCGTGTCAATGTAGGTGTTACTAAAAATCACAAAAACTTTCATTTGCAACGACCATATTCATCCTTGCCACCATTGTATCCCATATATACCGTTAACGTGTGTCCATACATGCTAATCGTTTGTCTTATTTGACCTAATCTCTTGGGATTTACACAAGAATTGAATATGGCTGTTGGGATGATTTGAATACGGCTGTTGTGGCTGTTGTGGCAGTGTCTAGAGTCTACTGTTATAATAATCTGTCTTTTAGCTTGTGGGTGTTTGAAAATCACCACCCTCTTTGGGTTGGGATTTAGGTTGTCACACAATGTGTCAATCATAGTATGTATCAAATTTGTCATGTACGTGGAGTTGAACTTGAGACCTCTCCCTAACGAGTAGAGAGGAATATCAGTTTGCTGTAGCGCTAATGACACCTTTTCTTTTCTTACTAATCAATAAGTGTCAATCATAGTATGTATCGAATTTGTTATGTACGTAGAGTTGAACCTGAGACCACTCCCTAATGAGTAGAGAGGAATATCAGTTTGCCGTAGCGCTAATGACACCTTTTATTTTCTTCCTGATCAACATGTGTCATGCATGAGAACAAAATCAGTTCGTCCATGAGATATGAAGTAGAGACTAATTACCACTAGACTAAATGAGGAGCTTTTTGGAATCATAGGAGAGAACGTATATAGGTTAAGGGTATGATCAAAGAGCAGAAATTAGTTCGGCATGGCGTTTGCTCTTTGCAAAAGGATAGATTTTGTATCGATATTGTTAATAATGTATTATGAACATGTTTTGTTAATGACATGTTATCTAGGATGATGTCGACACGTCACTGATAATGGTATTACTAACATCTGTTAATAAAGAGATGTTGTCATGTTTAGAAGAGCAACTTACATGGAACGAGTTTATCACCACATGGCGTGACATTTATTGAAAATTGTACACATGTCATTGCTTTATTAAGTGGGCACCAGGAATCAAGATGACCGTAAATCCGTGTCATATAATCATTGTCCATGTTGAAGCATGGACAAAACTTGATCAATGAGGGATTAAGGTGGAATTTGATTGTTGATAGATGGCTGGTGGTGTTCTCACCCACTCATATGTGTGCTCACAAATTTTCTTTCAAGAATGTCAAATTTCACCACTTGTAAACAACTTTGGATCCAAAAACATCAAACTTTACACGTTCACACTGACTCAACTATCTTCTTTCCTGGAGGAAAAGATAAAAAGAAAAGTCATTCAAAGCTTCACACTTCAACATTCGGCTTTTTACCCCTTTTGCTCCACCACTGCGCATCCCCACCCCATCCCACCCCACCCAACCCATCATACTCCTTGACATTTTGGTTTTCCACTTGTGACTTGCCTCCTCCGTTCGTTTCATGGTCCACACCATCACTTCACCAATGCTACCATTCAACTCAATTGCCAACTGTTATCCCAAATGTAGGCATGAAAGGATTCAACGGCTATAGATTGGTGATCGAGGAATGTTGAATCAAATCCAACAATCAAATATGTATCAATAACGAAGTCTGAATGACGGTAGGTACTCAAGAAAATTTGCCGATTGTCGGCATGCAAGAATTTTGAATTTCTTTTATGGGGCTTTTATTCCATTCCTACCAACCTCCTTCCACAATCCATAAAAATTGGGCAAACTAAACCCTTTTTTTCTAATTCATTAATTAGAAGTTTAGCCTTTTTCACAATGCGAAAATACAACCACTCAAAGTAGTTTGAACCCAACCACGAAGATGAGACACTTTAGAAGTTCAAAAATCGGGTTAAAATCTTTAAGCATGATTAAGAGTTTATAATTATGAGATCATTATCTAATTTAGGTTATTTGCAGAGGCTTCAAAAACTATATTGTCTTTTCTCTAAAGACAATCATATATTAAGGGGTCTCTCTGTGTGTGTGTGTGTGTGTGTGTGTGTGTATATATATATATAAAGAATAAGAATAGAAGCCAAAGGCCGAAAGGAAAAGACCCCAAACTAAAAGGAACGAAGAAACTGAAGAAACAAAAATACAACAAAAGCCAACTGTAAAAACGGTCACACACCAACGGACCAACTGACCAACAGCTTAAACAAAGATAATAACTGATAAAATAATAAAAAACCCAAAACAAATCACAATTATTAATTAAATATAAACACAAGCCACAAGGCAATTAACAACACCAGAACGGCAAAACAAGAACATTCAAAAGACAAGCTGCTTAATTAGCAGCTAATTAAACAGAAAATACGATAGAAAGGCCCCAAAAAACATCCATCTCAGAAACTCGGAAGGAAGCTGTTCTTCCATTATTCAGGAAGGAAATCTAGGTGAAAAGTTGTGTAGGGTTTGAACTGCAGAGAGGAGATTCGAATCTCACGGTGCATGTCCGGCGATCGTACGTCATCGTCATCGTATGATCGTAAGATCAACCGCAGAGGGAGGACACTGAGCCACATGATCAAGTGAGTTTTCTTGTTAATTTCCTATGTAATGCATGCATGATCAAGTGTGTTTTCTTATTAATTTCCTACGTAATGCATGCATGAGCTAATTATTGGTTTTAATTTAATTAACCTGACTTAAATGAATTATTAGCTAAATTAATGGCATATGCATGACATTACATGTGGTTGTCACTTGTCAACGTGGTATATATATTTGTTGAGTTAATCAAGAACTAAAATCTATAGGTTTACAAGTGTGTGACAGATTAACAACTCTAATCGCTTTCTCAATATCTTTGTCTACCATTTTCTTGAATAAATTAGATATATAGGTGCATAAACATAATTGTTTTATGCCATTACGATAAAAGTGTCATCTCTTATTCAGCGAGATAAACAATTTGTATATTACATGTTAGAAAAGAAAGCCAAAGAATAGTAGAATCAGAATGTTCAAATAAATTTGGCCAAAAAAAAAAATAGTGTTATTCACACACCTATTTTTAGCTTCCATATACCCTCATTAAATTTTTGACATGTTATTTTCTTCAATTTGTTCAATTCAATGGCCGAAATTTGAGAAAAGTGTGTGAAAAGTATAAGAGAACTTAAACGAAAAGTTTTCGATACTGTTTATTTTAACGAAAAATCATATTTTTACACTAAAAAATCATACACTTTATTTTGTTCTTATTATTAAAACTCAAAGTTTTCAAATTCTTTTTCATTAGTTTTCCTAAAGTATAATGAATGTGTCAACAACACTACCAAAAAAAAAAAAAAAAAAGCCACGCCGGTTTTGTGGCTGGGAATTCCACCGAAGTTTATTTGCTCTTGCGCAATGCTCATGCTGGTTTCGATTTCTCGGTTTTGGCCTTTTGTTTGTGTTCTAGAAGGGTGTGATATTCACACATTTTATCATAATAAAATAGGTTTGTCATAATAATGTAGTTCAACATTATCAAAAATTGGAATTAAAATCCTTCATTATAGAAAAGAATACTAGACCGTAGTGGTAGGTAATTATTAAATTTTATTTGTAATCTCAATTATTCATTTTATATTATTAATATAACGTATTGTTCGAAGAAAATTCTAACATTGTGACCAATTATATAATTATTTGTATTTAATATTTCTTCCTAGAAACCAGGCCTAAATTTATGTTTTTCTGCAGAGCTTATAAATTATAAACAGCTATTCCTTCTTCTCTCATGAGTCGGACTCTTGGAACCGAAATAAGAGCATGAACTGACCAGAAATAGAAGAGAGCGAGAGAGAGAACTGCATTCAAGTTCACAGATTGATTCTCTCTGTTTTCAGAATTCAAGGAGCAGATAAAAGGGAAATTTGCAAACTCAGACCAAGTAAGTAATTTTTTTCTCTGTATTATTATATGCACTGCTTCGAAAAGATCGAGAAAAACACATTCCTTGTCGTCAGAGTTGGTAGCTTTTTACCATCTGGGTTTGCTTTAATGGCGAGTTGTTAACTTTTGTTGTTGCAGTCTGTGAGAGATGCCAGAGAAGGGACTGGGCTGACCACCATCGCAGCCGTGGACGGCGAGTCCGATGTTGGGTCCTTTGCTTCAATGGCGAGTTGGGTTGTTAACGGCGGCGGTCCTCGTCGGAATGGTGGTGGTTTGGAGCGTCGATGCCGGAACTATGCAGAACTTCGTCGACGCTACAAGGACCCGCCAAGCTTACCTCACCACAGAGGTTAGTGCTTTAGCTAATCTCGCCCAAACCCATCAAAATATCGACGTCAAATCGTTCGGCAATGCGGTTAATCAGACCCAGAACCAGACCCCTCCGACACAGAGCCAAACCAACATGACCCAGAACCAAATCAACCAGACCAATCCGACCCAGAGCCAAATCAACCGGACCAATATGACCCAGAACCAAATCAATGCGACCCAGTTCAAAACCCACTTGGATTCTCAGAACCCAGTTAATTTTTCCCAATCTGGACCAGTTTCTGCCCAGAATTCAACTGGGGTTTCTCTGAAATGCGAAGCTTCGAGTTGGGTTGTAGCTAAATTGGAACCTAACTTCACGAAGAGTCTTCTGGCTAGGTGGCTAGCTCCGGGAGGAGAGCCCTGTAAAGTTTCGAGAACAGTAGAAATTGTTATCCCTGATTTGGACGGTAAGGATCTGATCGAACTATCGGCTGGTGAAATCTATGAGTTCCAGTTTCTGGCATTGGGGGAGGATAAGAGCCTTAGATGTTTGGGTGGGGATTACTTCGAAACCGATCTTTCTGGGGAGTCATGGAAATCTAGGCCTCTGGTGACAGATTTTGGCAATGGTTCTTATTCTGTTAAGCTTCAAGTTCATCAGGATTTTGTGGGGTTGTACGAGTTTACTGTCATTCTACTTTTTAGGCATTTTGA